ATTTTATTATGATATATCATATATTATTTAGTTTAAAAATATAATAATATGTAGTTTTATATTTTCATTAAAAAATTGTATATTTTATATATTTATATGTATTAAATCAATAATTAAAATATTATATTATGCATATTTTTAATTTGTACATTACTCAATAGACTAACTTAATTAAATTTTATAATTTATTGAATATGTTCTAATTACTTATGTATATGGGTAATATAATAAAAATATTATAATATCATCTATATATTGACTTATAAATAATATCAAAATTAATAAATGTTTTATGAACTGCCAGGAAATGGATCTTCTCTATTTTTTCTTAAAATGAAATTAATTTTTCTATTCATGTCTTCAGAATAAATTGCTTTACACTTTTCATAATTAATTCTTCTTCTTGTTTGAGTAGGTTTTTCATAGTATCTTGTATATCTATATTGCTGAAAAATACCTTCTTTTGATAATATATTGTTCAATATACGAGCAGCTTTCTCTATATTATTATTTTGAACCATAACTGTTCGAGCAAAAAATTGAAGATGTCTACGCATACCCATCTGAAAAAAATATATATAATATATAATATTAAAAATATATTAAAAATATATTAATGTAAAAATAAATTAATGTATTAAAAATATATATAATAAACCAATTATCAATTTTTTTATTTATATGTATCTTTTTATTCTTTCATTAATATATTTTCTATTAATTATTCATTTTAACTTTCTTATAATATAATTAAAATATGAATTTATAATAAAGAATAAAATAAATAATCTATAAAATATATGTTTAATAACAAAATGTACGAAAATATTTATTAATAATTAGATTATATAAGGAATATAGCTTTAAATTACTGTAATTCGTATTTTAATTAACATATAATTAACATATAATTAAAATATATTTTTGACAATATATTTTAACATATTTTGAAGGTTATATATTTTTCAATAATACATTAAATTATAAATCAGTGTTCAAGTTTGTTATTTAAAAATATTGAAATATTAATTAAATAAAATATTTAATACCTTGTATTTTTTTTAAATATATTCAATAACTAAAATTAAATTTAAGTAATTGTTAGAACAATCACTTATTGTAGTCACCTAACCTAGTAAGTTTCTATAGAAATTTAACCTAGTAACATACTCTAGAAACTTAACCTAGTAAGTTTCAATAAATCGAAATATACTATTTTCATAAACAATATATTTGAATATTGTATTCTTGTGTACAGTTCTATTATACAATTAAATTAATTTTTAACAATATATTTTTAATTAATAATAAAACAAAAAATAATATAATTTTAAAAAATATATATTTATTTAAATAATTATTGAGTACTAATATAATATTAATATTTCGATCAATGTATATCATATATATATATATATATATATTAACATCGATTTAAGGAAAATATAATGTAATACAATATTTACAGATGATATATTTGTTATATTACAAATATTTTATTTTTACAAAATTCAATATATAATAAATTTAATAAATACTTTAATGCAACATTCTCTTACTTATATTGAAATATTAATCAATTTTGTTATTTTTTTAAAACAAATCAAATATAGTGAATAGTACATATACATTACTAAATATATTAACTCTTACGTGTTACAATAACAAGCTTTTAATTTTTGATTCCATGTGGATGATCGCAATAAAATTGCATGTGGCCCAAAAAGAACATATTCAACAAAGTGATGACAATAAAGTACAAAATTAAACAGGACAAAATCTGCAGGTACAAGTTGTTTATAAGTATTATTATATATTATATATTATATATATATTATATTATAACATATTCATTTATATAATTAATAATAATAAACACATAAAAACAAAATATGATTATAATATGATAAAAATGCTTTAATGATTTTACAATTGTATTCTATAGTAATTAATAGTTTAAATAATTACTTCTCGATCTTTTAAATTATATCGAAATCCCCACCGACATATACAAAGCCATACTGATAAAGATATTAAAAGTAACACCACTGAAAACGGAGTAGCATATATGTGTATATGGAACATTTGATTCTCTTAGCAATTTTACAAACCGCTCTTAGATTTTCTTTACTTCCACCTTTTTCCTCGATGTTCTTCATTCTGTAACACTCGAATAAAATATCAAATTTTTCAAATTATAGAAACATATACATTTAAATTTATGATGAATACCTTAATGATGAGTAAAATGCTTATAAATTTCAGCCATACGTATTATACATTTTTTCATCAATTTAACAGCATAAAGAGATATCTCATATGTAAATTCTATCTTTGATACATCAACCACATCATTCACCATTGTACATTATTAAATTCGAGAATATTTCCTACGAAAATATTTGTTTTAACATTAATAAACGAATGGGCTAAAATTTTGTAGAGTTTTAACCTAAAATTTAGAATATAAGACAATTAATGTTTTTACGTCTTTCCTGTCATTTGTAAATCTCAATTGACATAATTAATACGAAATATTGTACATTGAATGCGATGAATCGAAACAGAAATATAATTTAAATAAAAAATAAATATCGTTTGACAAAGTGTCACTACATTCAGAATATTTTACATCAAGTAATTTCATAGTTATCTGTCATGTGAATTTATATTTTAATATAATATTATCATATATTTAATATAATATATTTATATGTACGAATTATCGAAATTAGTATTTCTAAACTTTTCGACTTTTTTTGACTTTATCTGTCCTTATTGTGTAGGTACATATATGTAAAGAAAACATGAAAATATTTATTACAATATATTTAATTAATAAATCACTTATTCAGGTCAGTAAACATTATTTTAGGAAGAAATTCATTTTTCTAATTATAATTATAAAATTGTTAATTTGAATCAAACATAATTATAAAAGAAGATGAAATAATATTAAGAAATATAATATTTATTATTAAATATATAATAAATATATATAATATAAATTAAATATATAATAAATATATATAAAAATATTATAAATTATGAAATAGAAGCTAAATGATATTATGTAATTTAAAATTTAATGATTTCTCTTTAAAATATGCGAAAATATTTTATAAATAGAATATTTAATAAAAAATAAAATTAAAAAAAGATAATATAAAATAAAATAATAAAAAATATGATTTATAGAAAAAATGTCTTTATAGATCACATATTCTGAACAACTGTTTGATCAATATATGCGTGCGCAAAATGGAGGTTAACAAATTCTTTAATATAAAAGCATAAAACAAGAAAGCTATTTTATTTCATATATGCTAAAAAAAAGTAATCGAAGTTATATTAGTTTTTCTTTATAATCAGAAATAGAGAACTATGCCACCAAAACGAAAAAAAGATGCAAAAAAGATATCCATCGATCCACCACCAGTGTAAGTTAAATGCTTTAAACATTAAATATAATATGTACTAAATGTATATTTGTATTGAAAAATATATTTATAATATATTTGTAAATGAAAAATTATACATAAATCTTGATAAACTTATTGAAATATTACATTTTTTAATATATCAAAAGATAGAAAATTTTTCATTTTTATATTATTTTTTTAATATTCTTTTTTTTATTTATTTATTAGTACTTTTCATTATATTTAAAATAACTTTTATAAATATACATACTTAAAATAATATCATGACATCTTCTTTTTGCAAATAAATAATTTAATTATAAATTTAATAATTTTATTACTAAATAATTTTATAACTGATTAATATTTGCATATAATATTAATTATATTCTGTGATTTATTATATTCTGCGATTATAAATTATAATAATATAATTATAATTCTTCGTTTTAATATTTTTTAAATAAAGAATCGAACCGGATATTTTGGAAGTACTTGAACCAGAAGAACCACCGAAACCACTAATATCAGCAGTCACAGGACAACCTTTCGGACCTCGAATTCATTACATAACTGAAAAAAAAGAAGATGAGAGTTCAGATGACGAACCTGAATCTGAAATTGATGAAGAAGTAAAATATTTTGAAGAAGAAGCTCCGGATGTGCCATCAGAATTTTGGCATATACAGAAACTTATCAGATATATGAAAGCAGGAAATCAAACTGCAACTATGGTGGCTGTCTGTCTTTTAAAAGATCACGATCTATCCAATAAAGTAATTCATTTCTTTTTCTATACAGTTATAATATTAGTTATTAATTTTCTTATTATAATTAGTAATATTAATATTTAACAATATTATTATTAATACAAATTAATTAATTAATTAGTTAATTTTTGAATAGTTCAATTTTATTAACATTATTATATAATTATTAAATCACTTAAAATTTTACATTTTACAATTTCTTAAATTAATTTCTACATCTAGATAACAATATTCGCAGTTTTTAATTTTAATAAATTGATGCATATAAAAAATAAAATTCAATTTTAATTGTGTATAATAATAGACGATACAAAAAGCAATTCGAGATATGGGAGGTCTAGAAATCTTAGTGAATCTACTCGAAACAAAAGATCTAAAATGTCAGAACGGCTCATTGTCAGTCTTGCTTCAAATCATATCATCGATAGATATGCGAAGGCATCTAATTGATCTTGGTATTGTAACACCATTGATTCAAATGTTAAGATATCCAGCTAGAGATATTCAAGTTAGTTTTTCATTTATTATAAATTTTATTATTCATTGCTTGTTTACATAAGAATTTCAAAAATATAAAAAAAATTAAATTTATAAAATTATTGCAAAGGTTTTAGCTGCAGAAACTATGGCTATTATCGCACGAATAAGAAAAGCAAGAAAACAGATACGAATTAGAAATGGAATACCTCTCATTGTGAGCATTTTAAATTAATTTATTATTAAATATTTAATCAGATTTCATTATTTTTTCTTTTTGGATTTATTAGAAAAATTGATGATGAAAATATTCATAAAAATAATATAATATATTTATAGTTGGATGTGATGGATATACCAGATTCTATCCTTCAGACACCATATAATAATTTAAATGAAGCTAATAAAGAATTGATAAAGGTTGCGATAGCTTGTGCTAAAGTTTTAGATTCACTGAGCAGTAGTCCAAAAATAAGAGAATCGCTTCACAATCATGGCGTAGTGAATCACATGGAACGTTTCTTAAAATCACAACATATTTCTCTTATAATACCAATGGTTGGAACTATTCAGCAGTGCGCGAATAGGGTATTTATTTATTTATATATATATACTATTATTATTATTGTTACGTGATAAACTACCAGATATTAATAAAAAAAATAATTAAATTTTAAATTTTAAAATTTTAAAATTTTATTATTTAATTTAAAAATTCATTTTCAATAAATTATAATTTATTATTTATATATTTACATTTATATATTTATATATTTACATGACAAAAAGAATAATAAATAAAATTTTATAAGATAAATTTTAAAAGATAATATTTAAAAAGTAACTATTATAAATAATATCAATCAAAAAAATCTTCACGTTTTCTTCAGGATATGTTTCGCAAATCATTTGAGAAAACAAATATTATCTATGATGTGGTTCGACATTTAAAAAGCGATAATGTTAAACTGCAAGAAAACTGTGCTCTAGCAATATACAAATGTGGCCTCAACAAAGTCGCCAGGGACATGGTTCGCCAATCGTCTGGTCTAGATGTATTATGCAAGCTTTTAGAAAAAGAAGAGGTTCGTGCTAATAAACGATTGCTAGCTGCTGTCACAGGTGGAATATGGAAATGTGCCATGAGTCCAGAGAACGTCATAAGATTCAATCAAAATAATTTGATAGCTTCTTTAGTACAATTTCTGGAAGAAATTGAAGATGAAGAAGTGCAAGCGAATGTTGTAGGAGCATTGGCAGAATGTTGCAAAGATCCTGTTAATAGAGACCGTTTGAGGATCAATGAAGGATTGCCAAATCTGGTAATTGCTTATTTATTTTTTATCGTGGAAATATTTTATTTATTAGAAAAAAATTTAGAATTTTGTTTTTTATTAGTTATTGGATATTTATTACCTTTATTTTCTTAATCTTCTATTCTTCAGATTTTTTATATATTTATAATTGAATAATTTCAATTTTTTAAATGTAAATATTTGTTATTTTATGATAAATATCTTTATTTTATCGTAATTTGATCTTTTTCCTCTATGTTTTATTTTTATGTTTAATTTTAAATTTTCATATGAAACTTTCTTTCGATAAAATTTCTATACGATTAGATTCAAAATGACAAGTTAATCGGTTAAAAAATGACATAAAATATTAATAAAGCATAAATCACATGCAGATCAAGTTATTAAGTTCTACATATGAGCCTCTATTAGAAAACATACCATTGGTAATAAAAGAATGTGCTCAAAATGAATTGTGCATGGATATCATCAATGATCCGGAGCATGTCAACGATGGTGTCCGATTAGTTTGGTCATTGCTCAAACATCCCAGCGATAAAATCAAAATAAATTCCTGTCTGGCATTGGTGCCTTGCATTAAATACGCGAAAGATTCTCCTGAAATGGTACGAGCATTCGTGGGTGGATTGGAACTCACGGTCAGTCTCCTCGACAACACAAACAACGAAGTGTTGAGTGCAGTATGCGCCACTATTGCTGAAATCGCTGTAGATCCAGAAAATTTAGGCATTCTTAGCGATCATGGTGTAGTGGATAAACTGGCCGCCCTTGTGACCACGGTATTCCTTAAAATTTTCATTCGAAACACTTTGTTTTATAGGTGAAATTAAAAAATCTTCGATTTTATAAATTCCATTAATTATTTCGAATTATCTTATTTTTATTCGTTATTTTACTTTCTTTTCTAGCAAGATGAAAATTTGCGTGCAAATTTAACCTTAGCCATTGCTCATTGTTGCGAATGGGGAGAGAATAACTATAAATTTGGTCAATTACAAGCAGTTGCTCCATTAATTAGTTATATGACAAGCAAGAATAAAAATGTTCTTAGAGGAGTTTGTACAGCTACATATCATTTAAGCAGGGAACCTATGAATTGTATTACTATGCATTCTGCTGGTATTATTAAGGTACAATGAAATTTCTCTGTAAGAAATATTTATATATTTATGCTATAATTTATATATATATATATATATATATATATATATT